ATATATATATATGTGGAATGCATTCACTTTTCTGTGTTCACAAATATTTTAATGGTGAAATGTTAAAGTCTTTAATATGTTTCTGGCACCAAAATGTCTTTGTTCCTCATCCTCTTTTGTCACTCAAATTTATCTGTGAAGAGCTAGCAGGGAAAAAAGAAGGTGGTTTTTGCTTTTTTGTTGAATGGTTCCCTACTGGGATTCTCAGCCAGCAATATAAAGTTGTTAATGTGTTGGGCACAACTTTAAATCCTCACTATAATCATGTGTTCCTTGGAGTCGGTAAGTCAATAACTATAGGTGGATTAAGTGGCTGGTAATTCACAGTGCACACAGATGCATTCACGTAGGTAGTAGTTCCATCAGCCATAACACCATAACCTACGAAAAAAAGAAAAACTCTTGTTACTCTCATTATTCATTATTTGTTTTAATTACTCACCTTTATCACACGATGATAAGTGCCACATTTATTATTCTGAAAGAATTTTAAAATTCTCTTCATGTAAAACATAAAGATCTCCAGAATGAACACCATCGCTGTCCTACAGAAGAATGTTTTGCAGTCTTTAACACTGCATAAGAAAACCAAAATGGACCCTCATTAGCTAGTGGCTATAATCTCCAGCAGCCAGCTTGTCAGATCTCCTCAGAAAGACAGATATCATTCTTTGCAAAGCTTTTTTTCTTAAAATGTCAGTTTTGGAAAGGATGAGAAGATACAGCTTAGGCAATTACAGTTTTAAAAAACATACTTCTGATCATTTAGGTTTGTAGTCATCACTGCAGCAAATTTTGGGCAATTTTCATCTTTCCACCTTTTTTTTTCTGTCCTGTGTTGTGCATCTTCTAAGCAACCAATGAAGAAAAAGCATTGCCTGACTAAGGGGAGTATGTGTGCATGTGTACCTGGGCAGGATTTGTCTAGTAGGAACCTCTTCCCGTGTGTTTGAACCTGCTGACCAATTCCAACTAAATTTGATGGAAAGGCACTAAAATGCCTGCCCAGGCAGAGGAAAAATGGCTTTATTAATGTATTTTCTGACAGACATCGTGAATTCACATCCTAATACACCATAACATTTCCACAGGAAAAAACATCCTTCTGTTTGCCTCACCAGTGGGGAAAAAGCTTTAACTACATCTCATGTCTGACTAGACACGCAAGCCTAATGATTCCAGAGCTAAATCTGCAGCAAATCAAACTTTCAGCCCTAATGCCTTTAGAAATCTAGTGAAACGCTGTTTCTAAAAGTGAAAAAGCAGCCCTTTAGCTGCCCTGGTGTTTTGAAAAAGTGGACACGCTCTCCATTGTCAAACATTTTTTCATGAATGGCAAGGAAAAATCACAAGCTTGATTACACTAAAACTGAAAGCTTGATCTTGGAAACTTGCATTGCAACATTATGATCAATATGAAGAAATGCAGACACAATCAGAAATCAATTATTTTGGGGAAATCACCTGGTAGAAGCATTTGTGCTAAGATTCAGTCTCACCATTAATGAAGTTAATAGTGAAACGTATTCATTGCCACACACACCAAGTTCTGGCTATTCACATCCTAGGTACCTAGGATCCTACAGTTTTTATGAGTGCAATTTTGTGTCTTACAGAAGCACTGATAGTTGCATAATTTACAAACAAAGAACCAGTAGCCAAATTCCTTTCTTTTTTGTTCCCTAAAATACCCTGAATAATGCAGGGCCTCCTGGACTCCCCATGGAAAAAACACACTGTAATTAGGGACTAGGGAGGGAAGAAAACGCTGTCAGGTTCCTGTCACAGACATTCCTTTAAATCATTTGCTGTTTGCCACAGAACAATTGTTCTGTGTAAAACACAAACTGCACAGAGTACACTCAGCATTGCTGCTGGGACTTTCTGTCTCCTCAGCTACATGTTTGGAGAGAGAAGAATTAGCTTGCTAACACACTCCTTTTGCTGGAAGATTCCTAATGCCACGGTTTTCACTCCTACTCTGCTGCCAGCAGTTTCCTTGGTCATGACTTCAGCCAACTACTGGCTACAGTAGTCACCTATAGTGCACCAGGATTTTAGCTGGAGTCCCTGCCATGCTGCCTGTCACTTCCATGGGCCGATCAGCAGCAAGCCTATGTATGGAGGTATTTTTGGCAGACACAGCAGTGCAGAGCGGGAATAGGGAAGAAACATCTCTTCTAAGCATCTCTTCCTCCTGGATGTTCAGTAAATGACTGCTGCAGATGTAGCTATGCTCAGTCAGGGGAAGAACTCATCTGTTCAAATCATGCATCCTCTCTACAAAGAGCAGGTTCGTTTGCACAGGCTGTCTGCGATGGGAATTCTCCTCTGCAGAGATTTAGCATCCCACTGCAAAACAGGCTATGCAGTTGCCCATTTGTTTTCTCTAAATTATGACAGTTAACAAGAAAAGTACCTTATTTCTGTGTTCTGATACCTACCGTGCCAACTGTATTAGTTCAAACATTTACCATTCTGTGGAGGTGCCGTGCTTTTCCTTTGGGAGCCAAAGTTGGGTTTGGTCATAGCAGATGTGATTTTGTTTACCTGCCTGAAGCTTCATGGCTTGCTAAGTGTTTGCTTATACCCCCTGCAACTCACTTCGCTTACGATTTCTGAGTTTGAACTGTATTCACCAGCTCTCTTGCACAGAATCTTCAAGACTGCTATAATAGCAAAGGCTTAGGAAAATACAGTGCCTATGCATTGTGAGTTTACTCTGTGATGTAACAGCACTTTGGACATTAACTAGGTATTAACAGGTCACTGCAGGTAAGACACAGAAGAATGGACTTAATCCCTGAGCTGTAAAATAATGATCTGAATGTCTTCTCCATCAATTTTAGAGCAGCATACCACTCATCAGTATCACTCCTAACCTAGCACAGTGAAAGCACCCAGCAGCAAGTCAAAGTGGGATTACTTGGGATGGGTAATGGTTCTTCGCAAAACCAGAAGTATCTGAGTGCCAGCTACTCCAGTTTTTGCACTTGTTCATTTCTACACTGGTGAGACTCACAGGTATTCTTCAAAGGCTGAAGCAGTCCCAGAAGCAGAACACTGGCAGTTGTGAGGCACCTTTTCGTGCCAGTAAGGTAACATTGCCAAGAACTAAGCGACTGATAATAGGCGCTTACATGCCAACTGGTACACTTCTGCACAGCCCAGTGGTTTCTTTTTGTGGGGGCGCTGCTCAAAGTCTTGCTGCCATGATATGTGAACAAGACAGACATCTCTATGGCAGACAGCATCTACCTTTCCCTTTGCCTGGAGATGAACTCCTGCTGTCATTGACTTCAGTGGAGCACATTTGTCACCATTTACTGATTTACATGAAGGGAACTCATTTTTTTCCAGTTAAAAATCAAATAGTCAAGAGAACCGCTTTGTTCTCTCTGGGTACAAAAAGTTTCCCCTGCCAAAGCAAATAAATACATGCATAAATATCTTGAACTTCTACACCAGTCAGTGGTGACAGCCCTCTTGATTTCAACTTTATATATGTGCTGATGGAGAGAGACAACCTTTATTGCACAGTCTTGAAGACTAAGCCTTAGAAGCACCCCCCAAAGCACTCTTACCCATTTTACAAACACAGAAACTGAGACACAGAGAGCTTACATGAATTATCCTAAGTCACAGAGACTCAGCAGAGGAAAACACAATCCATCAATCCTAATATTTAGTCACTTTCTCTAACTACTGGACTTGTGTTCATATTTTAAAATTCACAGTAATCCTCTGCGAAGGAGGCATCACCCTGTTTTATAGATGTAGAAACTGAAAGAGAAGCTGAAGTACAAATATTGAAATGTGGGTATCAGCCAATTTCTTCTCTATATATGCAGCTAAATCAGTATCTGAATTCCAGCAGTGATTCAGTTCAGACATTCAAATTTGAAAATGCTGGTTAAATCAGACAACTTCTGTGTTTGTGGTTTTAAAAACTATATATACAAGAAAATGTGTTCTGACCTTCATGGATATGTCCAAAAACATGAAGCCTTGGCTGTATTCGCCTCTGGACTGTGTTCAGCAGCTCAACACATCCTACTCGTTGCATTTTCTTAGGAACCCAGTCTAGAAAACCTTTGGAAAAGAAAGGAAAGCTTTAAAGAAAGACACATCATCTGCAAAGCTGTACCGCTATACAGCATTTCTGAGATTTCATGTCTTGTGGCTTTTCATAAGCAGACATAGAATAACTGACATGGAAAAAACAGTTTGCTTTAGTAAGTAGAAGAGGAAGGAAGGAAGGAAGGAAGGAAGGAAGGAAGGAAGGAAGGAAGGAAGGAAGGAAGGAAGGAAGGAAAGAAAGAAAGAAAAATACTTGAGGAAAACCATAAAGGCTCATCCCAAGGAGAAAGGACTATGACAACTCTTGCCAGTTGTTTTTAAAGGAAAAAAAAAATCACTGCAATTAAAGCATTTTTGCACTGCTGTTAATGGGAAAACTCAACGCTTCGCCCATTCTTCTTCAAGGGACTGAGCAATAAAGACCAGTATGTCCAAAATGAATCTCTGAAGAATCTAAATCAACATGTAGCTATGTAAATCTAACCCTGGGATCTAATTTTTAAAATTGGACACTTCAACTGATGTAATGGAACCTGTGTTGCTAATAATAAAACTACATCGTTATCACATTGAATCTTACAGTAGTAGAACTCAGGTGAGGAACCCACAGCATGCCTAATCCCAACATTCTCAAGTAAAACTGGTTTAAGCACTTCTTGACATGCCAATAACCTACATCCATGGACCTCAGATAGGAAGGAAACTCAGCCTTTCTGCAGTAGGTGTTTTTAAGTGCTGTATTTACTTGCACAAAGTTTGTATAAAAATGCATTTTTTATTAGTACAGACAAAAATGTACACCCACTCGCTTACATGTCTAAAAACATACTGCAGGGGGATGCTTACTGCCAACTGAGGTCTTGTGATACCTTTAAAGTAGTAGTATAAGTTGTATTAGAGGGCTTGCAATAATCAACCTGGTTTTCCTTCTATTGTTCTGCCATTTTCATCAGGCTTAAATTTGGAAACCTAAAAGATATAATAATTCTGTTTTTCTTTAGTTGTTCTGGTATTTCCCCCCGTGTGCCTGTCATAGCTTTGTATGACTTAGATTGCTGCAACAGCATGAATATATTGTGCCTTTGAGAAAACAGTAGTCAGCCGGAGAGGTACAGAGCCTGGAGTTAGTTTTCATACATTTATTTTTGAGGTCCACTCAAGCATGGCTAAATAGCAGCTAACCAAGTGGCTTAAAAGACCAGAACTGTGGTATTCAAGCTCTTGGGAAAGCTCTCAGATTTGCTAGAGCTTCAGGGTAGGTTCACACACTGAGAAATACCTCTTTACGTGCCAGTGCTTGAAAACTGGGCTCAGTGTACTGGGGTGCTTTGTAAGAATAGTAAAAGTGTGTACTTGTGTCATGGTTACTCAGAGAGCTAAGTCAAATTTTCAGAAATGAGTTGGGAATGCAGCATCCTAATTGTCAAAAAGAGGAAGTTCTGATAATGGACTCCTAATACATTCAGATGCCTCTGAAGACACTGCTTTGCTCCTGTCAGGGGACTGTACAAAAAGAACGCCCTGCTGAATTACAGACAGAGCAGAGCAATGCTCAGTTCTGGTAACTGATTTTACCGGCCACTCTTCATATACAACTCAGGTCAAAATTCACTGTAGCAAATAGCAAGTATTTAAGACGTCAAAGTGAAGCCAGCAGCTCCTCTGGAATCCAGTCATGCTTTTTTTCAGAGCAAACGTGTTATAACCACAGGTTGTTACTTCAGTGATTTGAAACAGTTAATTGTCAAAATGTCTGTGGTGAACAAAAAGCCAAAAGTATTTCCACTTCAAAAACTTCACAAACAAAAATCCATAAAATTAACTTCTCCATTAAATTAAGCATTATTTATGTTGAACATGTTTTTGTTCACATGCATTATCACCCTTCTGAAGCTTTCCCATATGTTTGCAGCTTATTATGTACACCTGACTACACAAACTAAGAATAATTGATTACACCTAGCTAACAATTAGAGTTCATCTTAGGGTTTTTTTAATGTTTGGTTACTTGAAACAGGTTTCTGCAGCTGTCAGGAAAGTATAAATCTCTGTCACAAACAATCAACCAGGCAGCTACAAATGAAGACTTAAAGGTGAAATTAAATTAAAAACAAAGAACAGAAAAGTGAACTTTTTGAAGAGGAATAAAAGAATCATAAATGCAGATCTTTAGGAATCAGGGAAAAGACTTAAAAAACTATACTACGTATACAAGTAAAAAATATGCTGATATAGAAATGAGCAATAGCACGGATCTCATACTCATGAATATGTATTTCATAAGCTATTAAATATATTTTTATTAATATAAAATTATTTTATATTAATTATACTTTTATTATTTTTATTAGAGATAAAACAGGTTACTAATCAAATGGTCAGTAATAGCTGTTTTAACCTTTGTTTTCTCATCCTTTGTGAACCTCCTATGTATCTGCTCTGGTTTCATCCCAAAGCACTACTCTAAAACAGAAAAAAAAACTACTCAGATTTTTGTTACGTGCCTAACTGACTTAGAAACACAAAGTTCACTAACTCTTAATGGTGCTTCTGCATCTAAACCATACAGGCAATTTTAAATCTATCTAATCATGTAGTATTAATTAGTTTAGGAGGATGCACACTCCTTTGAAGTGAGGGAATAAGAAAGCAGCACAGAAAATGGATGACGGACAGAATTTAGGCAGCCATGCTAGAGAAAAAAAGAGGAATTTGCAAGAGCGCTGATTGCCATTTATGATCATTAGGAACAGCTCTAGTGAGGTTGTCCAAGAGCAGAACAGTAATCCACTTTCTGGTTAAAATAATTGACTAGGAGGGTCAAGGAGAATCCTGTCTCCCAAAATGTCTGTGGACACAGCTACACAATAAAGAAGTTCTGTAAGTTAGGCAGAGTGCTTATTTCTTTTGAACTGTCATGTATTTGTTGCCATGGATGTCAGGGAGACCAAAAGCTGATGCCCTCAGGCACAGGGTTCTGTGCCTGAGCCATCTATTAATACATCAGTAAGAAAAAGACAAAGAAACGGGAACTTTTAAAAAAGAAGGACAGTTGAAGCTTAAGAATAAAAAACAAACAAACAAATATTAAGACATGGAGATGGGGGGAATTCATGTTATCCCATTATAGTCAGTGGAGATGGGCAGTTCTTCCTCAGGATTACTGCAATTATTAAATTACTTTTCAGTTATTAAATTTACCATTAAATTTATTATTAAAGCGTATGTGTTGAGTGCCAGGTCCACAGTGCTCTCTAGAGGGTCTCCCTCTGCTGATCTCAGAGGCTGCCTGGAAAGAGCTGGTGGCTAAATTAGCGAGATGCCTGAAGCTGGGTGGTGCAAACCCCTCTCTCCACCTTCCAACACTTGATTTCAAGTGCTAGATAAAGGGATACTCTTTGGATCCACTGAAGGTTGGATTTCTTTACAGCTGACCAGTCAGTTTTAAAAACAGTTTGAAAAGTGCTGAAAAAGCTTCTGAAAAAGTTTTAAATAGGACTTACAAATAAAACTCTATCAAAGACCCAGCATCATGCGTCAGATTATCCCCAGTACTAACCATTGGGAGCTGATATTTCGAAGTCTAAACAATGAATTTCTGCCATCCACTTTTATGATACAGGTTCATATTAAAATCAGTCTATGGCATGGCATGAGACTCCACTTAGGTGAAGTATCAAAACACACGCCCTTACTGTGAGAAACAGTGCTCACAAAGAAGCCCTTTCCCTCAGGATTAGTGAGCAGTGGAATGCAAACATGTTTTTCTAAAGAAAATGGCAAAACACAAACCCTTTAGATACTTTCTCCTCCAAGCTCTGAAAGAGGAGAAGAAAGGGTGGAAGACAAGAGGGATTTAGCTTCAGGAAATTGGGGAATCTAAAAGTTTGAAGAAACCAACTGCCTTCATTTCACACAAAGCACTCGTCCGCAGTAAGACTCACCAGAACACTTAGTACAAGCTTCACGATTGTGTCCATTTATTAAATTAGTGAGAGTTAAACACATACTTGCATTAAATACAGCTCGCTGTTTGTTAAATACATTGAAAAACATGTTAAAAGCCTTAAACCTTTACTGAATCTGGACAAGCTTCTGTGATTATACTATTTCTGTAACACAGATAATTTCACTATTATCTATGAATACAGGAAATCTCTCTTGGTTTTTATATCACCTATATGAATATTTGTAAATCACAGATGCAAAGCTATTTCTTGGTGGTCTGTTAGTGTTGCCAGATTGCATTAAAGATAGGCAATTCACCCACACTATCCAAAGAAATGTAAAGTATGGCAGCATTTGCATTTGTGAGGCAGAAGATGCACCAACTCAGGATGATAAGGAAAAATACAGACTCAAGCTACTTGCTGGTAAGGGAATGCTACTGCAAGTGAAGGAGGAAGACAGTACTAAAAAAATAAGATCCAAATCCTGCATTTCTCTTCAAGCAGGCTCCAAGCTTTAAATCTACTAATCTCACCAGTGGCCGAGCAGACAGAAACATCAGAAAACTAGATCTTGCTTATTTATAAAGCCCATTAAGGTCTTATGTGTTAGGGCTTTATTTTTTAAGCCATTATTTAATTCCCTACCACTAAGCATAGGTAATCATGAAACAAAAAACTGAGCTGAAGTTCTGGTGCTGCTGAAATCAGTAGGGACACTACTTTTGACTTTTTAAAGTCAGGATTGCACTCTGTCTCAAGTGAGCCATCAGTTACTGTATAATCATCTGAAATACACAGCTAAGAGCACTAGTATTTTCTTACCGAGAGGTGGTCCATGTGTTATAAGAATATCTATTCCATCTGGAATAAGGTTCCATTTCTCTAATAGTGCTTGGCCTCGTGGAAGATTAAAGCCCCAGCCATAAAACCAAGGTTGCCTGCCAAGAGAGGAGGAGAATGTCTTCAGTGCTACTTCCATGTACTGGTTATCTAATTATGGATTAAATATGGAGATTGACGCTCTACTAGCATGGAATTTGGAGACACAAATAGCATTCATTTTCTTCTTTCTGTGCACAGTAAAACCCTCTTTCCATACAACCAGTGTTATTTGTGTGGCAAATCAACGCAGTCCTTACCACCTTCAGTAGGCAGCATACAGCAAAATATTCACAGTATTCTTCTAACTAAGAGAAAAGTAACTCTTCCAAGACCTGGATACCAAGATCTCCATGAGAGGATTAGCATGCTGGACTCCCACAGTATCTAGAAGATCACCTGATGCAGATACCTAGGTGTGGATATATGTTTTACGTTGACTCCCATCACATTTGGCCCTCAGCCTATGATCAGCTGGGCAAGGACAGATCCTGGCAAAACGATAGATCCTACTCCAAAGTTGGAGACCTCGTATATGCTGTTTTGTTTTCCTAATTGGAAGCATCCCATCAGAGCAAGAATACTGCTTCTTTTCTTATATAATTTTCTTCTGTCCTCTGGTGTCATGACTTGCTTTTAAGAATTTCCATATTCAGGATTTATCAGACTGGCATTCACATTTTTAAAAACATATTTATGGAGCAGCTCATCATTGAGCATTGGGACTGTAACACAGCCAGTCAGAACACAATTTATCTGTATCTTGCTATCCTATTGATTAAAAAACTGTATGTCACAGCAATTATATCACAGTGGTAAATTACGTCTTGCTGATTATGCTCTAATTCTAGGTCAAAATATTGAGCGGTTAGTTTTAGGTTGGAACTTTTTTATTCTTTTTTGACTGACGTGTTCTGGCCATATCCGTATTTGGAGAACAACAAATAGGCTGCTGTGATTTAATAAGGTTTATGGTAATTGCAGCCTTAGTGTTTATAAATACATACACATCAGCCAGAGTTCCCTTTGAGATGTTACTTTGTTGAAGAAAGCTTTACACTCCCTCACCACATCAAAAGACAGAAAGAATTCTTTCAAACAAATTCTCTGAACTCCACTTTACATCATGTATGGCAAAGACAAAAGAAAATGCCCATAAAGCTATTATTCATCCTCTTCCATTACTGATGCTTGACTAACATTTCAAAAATTAGCACGTCTGCAATCTTCATGATGATATACTTCCCACTTTTGCTTTCGGAATGCTGTAAAGCACATGTCTATTGAAAACAGCTTAAAAAATAGAGCTTGCTAAAATGTAAAGGGATGTGGCTTACCCAAGGGAAGAAAATAAAATTCTGCTACAAGGAAATGAAGAAGTGGGTTTTGCAGAATGTTTCCAGCCTTTCTTCCATAGATAAAAAAAGCCCCAACTTTCTGAGACAGATAACTGAAAGGGTTCCTGTGTCCACAGCTAAGAGTGCATCTCCAAGCTCCTGCCCTGGATAACCAGGGCCTGGATAGACAGGTGTCTCAAGGAAAAAAAAAAAGGTGAAACTCTGTACATCTGCCACTGGGACCAGAAATATATCCCAGCCTCCAGCAGCTGTGATGAGGGAGGTGAAGAAGATGTGTGAAGAAGAGATGCTAATAGCAGTAGCAATCAAGCAGAAACTTTGTTCTGAGTCAAGTTGCTCAGACCAAGGTACCGGGCTGAGAAACAGACATATCGCTATATTGGGGATATGGTATCTCCCTTCTGTAGAGACCCATACACTTCAAACCACACTTTTCTGGTTCACCTCCTAAGCAAGCTTTCTTCAGAGGAAGAACAGGACCTGGCTCACACGTGAACGACTTCTCACCTTCCTACAGCTAGGGTGGTAACTCATGGTCTACGTACTGCCTTATCCTGTGGTAAGCTACCGGTGACATTTCTATGTAACACTCACGCAGAACCAAACCACAGTCCGTGGTGTCTGATCAGCCTGTCTGTACATTCAGCTCACCACTGGCAGAATGGGAATACTTTTATCTCACAGAAATGCCCTGAAAATAAAAAAACTGAAGTCTGTGAGGTGCCTGGATATTACAGAAGTGGAAGGCACTGTATATAAATATATACAGAGGTTAGGCTTTTTCTAAACTGTCCGACTGTCCCTGCCATGGGACTGCATTCCACACCTTACACGCCAAGTATCTTTCTTCATCATGATTAAAATATTCAACTGATTGGCAAACTGTCTTAAGGCTGAGAGCAAGTTTTTCAGCAGCAAAATCTCATAGACTGAAAATATTTGCAAGGACAACTAGGAGGCCAACAAAGAGGCAGCAAAAAAAATCATTCTTCTAAATCCACTGACAGATTCAGTGAATACCTCCCACCTGTCACTCACTCTGGTGCTGCTGGGCATGGACAAGATTGCCCCCAGGTCCCCAGTGGGAAGCCAGGCGAGGTGCTGTCCTGCACCCGGCAAGTGTGCCAGACCCAGCAGAATGGGCCATGGCCACTCTGTGCCCCAAGAAAGAAACCGAGGGGAAAGATCAATATTTGTCCAAGAAGAAAAGGTCAAAAACATATGGAATAATTATTTTAAGGATACAATGAAGTATTTGGAAAGAGAAATAATCGCGACTGTTACAGGTCTCACTAGAAGTCAGCTTAATCCTGGTGAAATCCAAGTGACCACGAATGGCATATGCAGCTGTGAGAGTCTCTGCCTGCCTCTACTAGGGCTGGCCTGTACACGGCAACTTCTTAAAAAGCCTGTTTCTCCTTATGAATAGGCATGATCTCCTTATTAAGACAAGCAGCACTTTCCCCCATCCCTCCCTTCCTCCTTCCCTCCCTCCCTCTCTTTGTGGTGACTGCAGTGCGTAGCCGCCCGAGCGCAAGGCTGGTAAGTTATGCATGCTGGAGCTGTTCTTTTGTGAAGGGGAGATGTTACAACTTGTGTGATTTGCCATTATGCTGTCTTCTGTGACAATCCTGAGATTGAAAGAAATGTCTGGAATATTTCTGGCAAAAAAAATCCCAAGTCCAAGAAAGGATTCAGCAGAGGACATTGGTGTGCTTTACATCTAAGAGAAGAAAGACAAATCATACACTTCAGTGCCCCCAACCTCAAAACAAAACCATCTTTATACGCACATGAGGATTTTATAAATCCCCAAGCCCTTCTTCTGAAAATTTATAACTAAACAGCCATCAAAGTTTCCGAGTAAGGAAAAAAAATCTTCTCTAGTACCCACTGTGACCAAGTCTGTGACCTGGGTATTGTGCAAAGATAACTATGTCTAAAATTTCCAGTTACGATGGAACCTAAAAACAAAGTTAAAATCTTCACATCAAGGACCAAATTTCTGGATCTCCAGTTACTGCTTGCTCAGGAAAAGTGCAAATTTTTTATACATTCATTTTCAATCAAATTTCATATTTTACAAAGAAAATACTGTCATGCATGTTTATAAGAGAAAAACCTGCTGTTCTCAAAAAAAAAAAACCCAGAAAAATGTATTTGGCAATTAAAGACATATATCATGAATGTATTTCACCTCTGAAGTGAAGCAGCCATGTAGAAATGTACTTTGATTTAGGTCTTATCTTCTTAAAATGAACAGTTTGAGTCTCTCCACATACTACTGAAATTCAGTGGTATTATTATTATGCTAAGAATAATGATTGTCTACATATAAGACTCCAGGGGGGAAATATATTGGAAGTGAATTTGTTTACAGAACAATTAACCTTATGTTAAAAACATATGAACAAGTTTTGCAGGTCAAATAATCCACCATACAAAAAGGGCTGAATTATCAGAATTTGTACTAGCAATCGGATGTTGCTTTATGTACTGAATTTCTATCTTTCTGTTCTAAAGTAACCATTGGAATAATTTTCTTACAGAATGATAGTTGCTATGACAACCATAGCAAATTTTCCTTTTCTGAAACAGATGTCTCATTTAGTTGAAAATTAGAATGTGAAAAACCCATGGGAAAAATTAATTCAAACTTTAACAGAACACTGACTACAATGTAATCTCTTATAGGTTAACCCCTTAACATCTTTCTGCACTCTTATAGTAACCTTCTCAAAAATTCTAATTAAACCAGTTTAACCTCCTAGGAATGACCTTCTTAGCTATCATTAGCACTTTAGTTGTCTTTGAAAGGAGCATTTCTGTGACAATAACAGAAAAAAATCACATTACAAAAAAGGTGGTCAAATGTATTACTGTCTTAATTATTTATTAAGTTTTTCTTCTTTTATTCAGCTACTACTGGAAAAAGCTACCATGTAGTCCAAGAATTCTTTTGTCATTTAAGTGGGGTATAACTTAGTTTTACATGTGATTTACTGTAAAGGGCAGTAATGTACCATACAGATTTGACCTGTAATTTACGTGAAAATGGAAGGTTTTCAATTTTCAAACCACTGGTACCCATCTCAATCTGCTCAGCAGACATACAAAAAAGGGAGCACAAAAAAGTATATTTGACTGGGGAAGACTATCAACGTGCATGGGTTTTTCTATTGCAAGCAATGAGAGTGAAATCTGATTATCCATTACCTTGACTCAATTTGAACATTTTAACTTAAAGAACGGATTTTTTCCTCTCCATACACTTACCAGCTCAAGGGGACAGTACTTGGTCATCAGCTACAAACGAACGTGGCAGCCAGCCAGCAGGCAGGCAAAGAAATATTCCCACCACTGCACTGTCCATAGTGCTTGCAGGGTGTCAGCTACCACAAGAACTTCAAGACTACAAGATTTACTGCAGCAGCTGCAGCTAGGTTGTCCAGCTGAATAAAACAAATCCTGCCACCAGTAGGTACACAATTACTCCTTTTGACTTCAAGGGAAAACTCCCTTCCATTGTCCAGTACCTACAGAGAGCTATGGGTGGTAACTGACTCAATAGACATTAGCGTATTCAAGGGATTGGTGGGCAGCATCTTGCAAACACCTTAACAGCAAAAAAACCCAGAACTAAAATATAATGCGCCTCCTCATTTCTGCAGTTTCCTACAGAAACCTTTCCCGCAGCTGAA